TGACTGCCATTTGCACATCACTTATTCGGGAATAAAACCATAGTAATTCGAAAGGAACTGAAAATGTTAGGATCGTTTTAATGTTTAAAATAACCAAATAGATCTTTCTGTTTAGTTTTTTACTAACAAATACCAAACGATTCCCTATAAAATACACTATGATTTGATCATTATGATATCAAATAATTATATAATATATATTTGAAATGATAAAAATCGGACTAATTGGGTTGGTCGAGGTTGAACCGTTGAATAACTTTAAAATACATTATATTTTAGCCACTAAGATATAAAATAATAGCATAATATATTATGCCAGAGAAAATAGCTTGTTTTAGAATGTCAAACCAATGATGTTCATTTGTTTTACTTGATGGCCAAATCCCGTGTAGGTCAAACCAATTCAACTCTTTTATTTTATGGTTAGCGGTTAGCCCATTAGATACCATGCATTAGTTTATTTTTAAATTTTTTATTTTTAGCAATAAAAAGAAGTATTGTTTTTGCCTCTTCATATATATTTTATCACCACGGAGAAATAAAAGGGCTTAATGAAAAAATTGACACTCTTGAACCCGTTTAAATCCGCATGTGTACGGTAAGTTGGCCCGTTCCACAGAGGAAAGAGGAAAAAATTGACACTCCCTATTCTATCATTCCTACAAACGCTCCTGGAGCAGGAAATTTGAAATGGGGGAAGGGTTTTTTCCTCTCTACTATTATATCTTTTTAATTTAAAAAGATGCAACAAATGTACTTAGTGTGATTGGTTATGATCCTTACTTTTCCTTAAAATGGTCATGGTTCGAATCCCACTACGTGTCTTTTTAATGAATTAAAAAAAAGTAAGTGTGAAGACCAAAATGTCCTTCCTACTTTCACTCTCGTTGCAGGAAATTTGAAATGGGGCTCCCGTTTTTCCGTTCGGTGTATTATATTATGTGTAGATTATAATAATATCATTATATTATTATTATTTTTAATCCGCGGTTGTAACTCTTAGTACGTAACCGTTAACCTAACCGCTTATAAAATAAGGTCGAACCTAAATCTAAAATACTGGGGTGTTACAGTAATTCTCTTTTCAGTTTTAATATATCTCAATAATTTCTTGTTTAGTTTTCATCTTACGATTTCTTAATTCTTTAATATCAACTAGTTTAGTATCCGGCCTGTTGGCCGGTTTGTGGTCATTTGCGTATTTTTTTTAGTTAAATGTAAATGGTTCGATTTTTATTATTGTACAATGGTGGCCCGAAAAAGTACCTTGATAGTTTATGTTTTTTAGTGCTCGTTTACTTTATATTGTTCATTGAATTGGTGTTTCATTTTATACTTAAACATAAGAAGTTTAAGTTAGACCACAAATGAAATAAAAAGTAATCTCAAATCTATATTAATGCCTTGAGATATTAAACATCACTGAATCAAAGCAACAAATTTTAACAAAAGATATTTGTGTTTTTGTTATATGTTAAATAAGTAGCTTGCAAATAAAGCATTGAAAATTTATTAATATATCACTATTTCTCTATTTTGATTTAGATGTTGTAGATTTTCACCTATTGAATTAAAATGAAATATGGTATAAAATATAACTATAGATGTTTTGGATGTAAATAGTTTAAAGACACAAAACTTCGAGGAAAAGAGAAAAATGTGGTATGTAAATAAATTATTTAAACAATTTTGTAAAGCAACTAAGATCCAAAAATATTAGTATAGTACGTAAAAAAAATTTATTATTAAAAGAGATGAAAATGAAAAAATTTAACAAAAGAATATTTTGACTTGCAATGGCAATTTAAAATTTTGTAGGTTATTCATCCATTTGAATTTTAGTTATCAGAATTCAAAGAGAACCTTTAAAAATATACTAATATTTCTAAATTTTCTATTAACTATATCCTTTGTTTTCAAAAACGGAGCGGTTGTCACACGAAAAATGTCAATGACTCACGATTAATGGTTTGTCGGTATACAACTATTTTGGAATTGTTAATGGAATTATTCCTTCATGTAAGTAGTATAGACATAGATAATAGGGTAATTAGGTTTTAAAAAAAGTTTTTCCATTGGACCAGATTTTACGCTTAATACTTCTCTAATAAAAAATTATCTCGTATTGGAAGGTTTATTATGATCCATAATCCCAATGAATCGTGATAAAGCCAAACTAAAAATAAGTGAAAATTAGAGATAAAAGTCAAAAGAACATTTGATATGGTTGCAGTCAGACACTTTTGTTCTGACTTTAAGTAAATACACATAGTTAAAAAAATTAATTATTTTTTGTTTTTCCTAATTCGACCCAAATATCAATTCGATACAATGTGAATGAAATTATTGTTTAACCTATGACTAAGCATTCGATCGTACCTTTTTGAATTTTAATGTAAGGAAAGACATGCTTATTTGAAAAATATAAATTGATTGTATTTTGCCAAGATTTTCCATTGTTCTTCCTCTTCATGTTTGCCGAGATCACTGTGAAATTAAGATTCTAAATCTTTTGAGAGCTAATACTTGGTTTAACTGTTTAACGTAAAAACCTAATGCGAAAAAACATATCTAGAAGGAACCTCTTCCCAAACATTCACGCCACAACAATGTATAGTCTTCGCCACCTCAAAATTTAATTCGCAATCTTTATCTCAATCAGGAGCTAAACAACTTTAGTTAACCTAAGTTTTATCGTGAACCACACAAAATAAATCTACACAAAACAATGTCCGAATAATTTTGACATCTACCGTAATCCGTGATCACCTAGCGAGATGCTTTGAAGTCTTTTTCTTATAATTTAGGTTATTGCTCGATCATGAGGGTGAATTGAAAGGGGCGGCAGAAGGCTTACTCTTGGCTTGGCAAAAGGGGTACATGAAGGTTATGCTTAACCTGAACTCTACTATAGGTATAGCCATTATCATTATCAACAACAGCGATGACGACAACCATCGACATGGATTGCTCAATATTGAAATTATTAGACTTTTGAACCTCGACTGGGAGGTGAAGATCAACCATGTTTTTAGAGAGGGTAATTTTGTTGTTGATTTTTTAGCTAGAAAGGGTCATGACTTTCCATTTGGCACAGATCAATTTGATGTGTGTGACCCGGAGTTTAGATCTTGGATTTTTTATGATGTTATGGGAATCACCCAACAAAGATCATCTATAATATGACCTTGGACACATTTTGCATCTGTCCTTCTAAAAAAAAATTAGTTGTCATATTTTTCTAATCGCAATACACACTGCTCATCTACTTCTAAAGACGAAGAATAAAAAACAATCGACTACTATTAATGGTTATAATATTGCATAATGTCCATTAGATATTGAAATGCAAATTATAAACAATTAATTGTATCGAAGTCGCAAAATGCATCAGTTTCTCTACACTATTGGTTGACGAGTTATAAAAAATTTGATTCAAATACTATAGGTATCCATATGCGACAAAGTGGAATGTGTCTGAATTGTTTCGATCTTATGAACTACAAGTAACTTATTATATATAGTAGCTAGTTGGAGAATTATTATTGTTGGTAAACCCACAACTCAATCGCAGGATTTTCTCCAGAAATAACACTATTTAATTTTTTTTACAAAAACAATATCAAACCCTCACAAATTCCAAAAATAGCACCATTCTTGGAAAACCGCTACCGGGGGAGGCGATTTGTGGAAGAACCGCATGTTGAGGATGCGGTTAAAATTTTGTGCGGAAACCGCCCCTGAGAATTGAGATAGGCGGTTTAGTAGATGACCTAACATGAAACCTCCTGTTGAGGAAGCAGTTCTAGGTCTTCAATCGAAACCGCTCCTTCAACATGCGGTTTGCCCTGCTGACACACAAGCCGTGCCCCCACCCTACGGTTTGTGTGTCGCTCCCATTCCCCGACATCCTGCATGCCATGCAAGGGGCATGCAGACGTGGGGCTGCATGCCACACGAAAATCGCCCCCTCCCCCTGCGGTTTTCAGTGATGATTTTGCCTATAAAAGGCAGCCCCAAAAACTCAGCTCTTCACCCCTCTCCTTATTCTTCTTCAATTGTCCGTTGTGCACCCTACTTTTTTTTAGAGTTTTTGCGATTAACATAATTATGTAAGTTTATTTTATATTACTTTTTATTGTGATTTGTGATTTTAATGGTATTAGCTGAATTACCATTTTATTGTAGATGGTATTCCAAAAGTTCACGCTTGGGTTACGGTGGAATGGTTACACGGAAGAGAACGGGAAGGGGGTACGTTACGTCGGCGGTAATTTTCATAAAATGAAGGTCGCTATGAGACCGATGCTTGAAGAGCTCCATCAAATGTGCATTGAGGTTACTTGCATGGATGGAACGAGAAGAGTTGATCGTATGATGTATCGATATCTAAACAGACAAGGCGAGTCGTTGTGGCATGAGGAATTCCTCATAACCACTTAGGATGAAGTAGATTCCATGGTCAAATTTTTGAACGCCAATAATCTTTCCAAAGCAGAGATGTTCGTTTACACCGAGGCGTTCGAAGGTGGTGGAGGTCATTCTGGAGATGGTTAAACATCTGGTATCCATGGTGGAGGTCGATTATGTGAAGATCATCCCTAGCTACCATGACAACCAACAAGAAGGCTATCAGTACCAACCCGATTACAACTTTCATTCATGTGACGGTAGTTTTCACAACTACTATTACGGAGTTGATGAAGCTGTCTTTCATGATCTGTATCAGATGGAAGATGCCTGCCAGCACCAGTTAGTGATCCTTCCGATGAAGAAGAAGAAGAAGAAGAAGAAGAAGAAGAAGAAGAAGAAGAAGATATCAGTGCATATAACTCCGACCCTCTTGAAGGTGCTGATGATTTAGGCCTAGAGTCAGATTCAGATGATGATAAGGTGTCTCGTGAGTCGTGACCGTGCACCTATCACTACAAATAAACTGGGCTGTAACGAGGGGCAAATGGGCCGACGGGGTGAAATCCAATCGGCAAAAGCAGTATAATATCCGCCCATCAGTTTTAGCGAGTGGATTCATTTCCCCTTGTTATTAGACATATGATTACCGTCGTTGTCGAATAGGAAAAGTTTTGTTTTTTATTTGGGCGGCTAAAATTTTCAGTTTCCCTCTCTTTCCCCAAATTTTGCTTTTTATTTGGGCGGCCAAAGCTTTCTGCTTCCCTCTCTATTCCAAATTTTCATTCTAGTTTCGCTCTCTTTCTAATTCACCCTATCTACTAAGGGACTGAAGCCAAGAGAGTTCCGCCAAAAGGCAGAAGACAGATTTTCGTGTGTTCTATATCCTGCAAGAACATCTCTCTCACTCATCGATTCATAGCTGCTTCCGTGTTTAATGCTCAATAGGTATTAATCTCTCAATAATAGAGCCATCTAGATCTGTAGTTCATTATGTTAGGTTTTCGTGTGTTAATCTCCAACTGCTTTCCCATTTCACTCCACGTCTTCTATCGATTCCCCCATCTTTCTCTTCTTTCGGCCTAGGCTGTCTTGTTTCCCAATCGGCGATGTGGAGCATCAATTTCCCATTCTTAGATTCCTTAAGATTGTATCCTTCTGGCAAGTCTTGAGATGGGCTTCTTGAAAAACTTGGATTTTTAGGTTTATGTATTTTAATCTTTAACTTCCCCCTTTCATTCTATATGTTTGGTCGATTCTCTCATTTTTTACTTCTTCTAACCTTGTATGCCCTGCTTCCCAACTGACAGTGTATACGAACATGGAAATTTTGTTGCATGTCAAGTAATGCGACTTTGAAAGGGGAAACTTTTATATGCTCTGGTTTTTCTTGTTTCGTTTTTTCACTTTCATCTCAAGGTCATTGATTTCATTAAAGCTTGCATAGGCAATGGTTTTGGTTAGTTGAGGGTATGTGAGGAAAATGTTTGTACTCTTGCTGTCGTTTTTTTATTTTGCTTTACTTGTCTCAATTTGTTCTTATTGTTGGCATTATAGTGTTTGATTTTTTTCATATCGCATTGTCCCCTAATTTTGCTTTGCCTATATAATTCTACTTACAATCAAAAGATAATATTGGAATTTAGGACGCAATGAAGTCAAACAAGGTTTTTGGTACTTCTAAGAGGAATGCTGTGAATTTCATTCAACCAAGTTCTTTGAGGAAAAATGTGAGGACTAGACAATTCTTTTCAAGTATATCTACTTCTGGTGGAGATTGCTCTCATCACACCATGTATAGTGGAGCTCCATCTAGAAGGGCACATGTTTTTGAGACATCGTCGAGTTCGATACCAAGTAAAATCATCATTCTTGTAAATTTATGTTATCTGGTCTTTATATTGTGAATAATATGATCTCATGTGATCTATGTGTGCAGATACTGGACCTATTGCAAGCACCGATGAAGATGACTTTGTGATGCATGTTGAAGGAGCCAATGAAGTAGAAAGTAATGCACCTAGCTTACAAGAGAACTTTACTGGTTAGTATAGTTAGTCTGGTATTATCTCACCAAGGCTGCTTGTATATGTATAATAAGTGCACTTATCTACTTGATTTTGTAGAACCCATAGTTGTAGTAAAGAGAAAAGTGCGAAGCATGAGCAAGTGTAAACGTGTTGGCAAACTCAGACCAGGAGAAAAGTTGCCGATAGTGTTCTTCCGCAATGGTCCAGTTGGGGTCAATAAGAGTGAATTTTCAAGGTACTTGGGTAAATTGATAAGCGACAATACCATTTGCCCAGTTCGTGTGCACAGCTAGAAAGAAATGGGAAATGATGTTAAAAGTCATTTGTGGGCAGCTGTGATGGTAATTAACTTATATTAAAGGCTAATTAGTATATCTATATACAACTAGTGTGGGCCCCGGCCAGTTGGCCGGAGGAAGGTAGGATGGCAATGGGTCGGGTTGGGTCGGGTTTTGCCAAATTCAAATCCAAATTCATGGGTTTATCCGTCAAAAAAATTCGGGGTAAAATCTACTGGGTTTGAAAAACTCAAACCCAATGATTTTTCATTCATAAAGTGTTTTTCCCTGTGTTTTATCGTAAAAAGTAAAATTTAGCGTGCATTTTTTTCAAATAACATGTAAGAGTGGGTCGACCCGCCCCGCCCTGTACCCGCGTGGGTATTACCCACCCCACCCCGTGTGAGATTGTGCGAACCTTCACACGGCTTGCCCTGACATCCACACGGCCGTGTGAAGGAGTGGTTTGGCCGTGTGGAATTGTGCGAGAGCAAACACGGGCAGGATGGAAATAACAAATTATTCATAAATAACATGATTAATTGAAAGCTTCTTCCTTTCAATTAAGTTTCTTCACTCTCCACTCGATAACATCAACTTCATTCTACACAATTAGAAAGAAAAAATTAGACAGGTCTCCACAAACATAAATAAGATAAGTTGTTTAGAATATTAAATATATCGAGAAAATTAATTATATGGGTGTGGGCGGGTACCCATGGGTCGGGTTTACCTAAACCCAAACCCAACCCAACCCGATGAATATTGAACGGGTTTAAACCCAAACCCGGCCCAAAACCCGTCAACACGGATTTTACCCGCGTTGACCGAGTTGGGTCGGGTGGGTACCCGTGGGTTCGGGTTTTGTTTCCATCCCTAGAGGAAGGTGAGGTATGAAATTTGATAATGTAATGGGGTGTATAACTTATTGTTGTATAGTTTTTTTGGGAAACACGTGATAAAAATAGTGAATTTTAGCAGGAAAGAGACATTAATGATGCAACAAATCAAAAATCGGCCTTATGAACCAAAATCAAGTACCTGTTACCTTGTGAAACAATATTGTTTCTGCTAATATGATGAGGTGGAGTAAGTTTTATAGAAACTGAATTCCATAAAATCGAATAAAAAATCGCCTATCCCGTCGGTTTTCGGGAAATGAGCATCTCACAATCGTTGCTAGCTTTTACTCGGCCAGTTGGCCGATTAATTTGGTTTATAAAACTTTCATCTTGTCGTCATTGTGCTTTCTGGTTTTTTTTTCAGACTATGATAAAATCTAAGGAAATCAAGAACGAACAACACGATTTGGGATAGGAACCGTCGTTGTCGTATCCCTAGAAAATGGTGGTAAACACGGACTCACCTGCCAAACTGGTTTGGATTGAGATTTTTATCGGGTATCAGGGAACCATGTGATTATAAATTAGACTTGATCAAAAGGGGCCAAAACTTGAAATGCATCATGTTTGACCGACCCATGCCAAATTCTAATTATTCTTTACTTTTAAACTTTTTATTTGAAAATAAAAAATAGTGAAAGAAAAGAGATGACTGCCATTTGCACATCACTTATTCGGGAATAAAACCATAGAAATTCGAAAGGAACTGAAAATGTTAGGATCGTTATAATGTTTAAAATAACCAAATAGATCTTTCTGTTTAGTTTTTTACTAACAAATACCAAACGATTCCCTATAAAATACACTATGATTTGATCATTATGATATCAAATAATTATATAATATATATTTGAAATGATAAAAATTGGACTAATTGGGTTGGTCGAGGTTGAACCGTTGAATAACTTTAAAATACATTATATTTTAGCCACTAAGATATAAAATAATAGTATAATATATTATGCCAGAGAAAATAGCTTGTTTTAGAATGTCAAACCAATGATGTTCATTTGTTTTACTTGATGGCCAAATCCCGTGTAGGCCAAACCAATTCAACTCTTTTATTTTATGGTTAGCGGTTAGCCCATTAGATACCATGCATTAGTTTATTGTTAAATTTTTTATTTTTAGCAATAAAAAGAAGTATTGTTTTTGCCTCTTCATATATATTTTATCACCACGGAGAAATAAAAGGGCTTAATGAAAAAATTGACACTCTTGAACCCGTTTAAATCCGCATGTGTACGGTAAGTTGGCCCGTTCCACAGAGGAAAGAGGAAAAAATTGACACTCCCTATTCTATCATTCCTACAAACGCTCATGGAGCAAGAAATTTGAAATGAGGGAAGGGTTTTTTCCTCTCTGCTATTATATCTTTTTAATTTAAAAAGATGCAACAAATGTACTTAGTGTGATTGGTTATGATCCTTACTTTTCCTTAAAATGGTCATGGTTCGAATCCCACTACATGTCTTTTTAATGAATTAAAAAAAGTAAGTGTGAAGACCAAAATGTCCTTCCTACTTTCACTCTCGTTGCAGGAAATTTGAAATGGGGCTCCCGTTTTTCCGTTCGGTGTATTATATTATGTGTAGACTTTTCGCTTTGCAGTAACTTGTTTTTTGTATAGGAAAAATTTTCAAACCCTGAGATGGAGGTATATAAGGGTCATATGATCAAGAAGATGAATAAGGCGTGGACCAATTATAGGTGTGATCTCAATCGTAATTATATAAAACCTTGTGCTTCCCCGGAAGATGCCCTTGAAAATGTGCCTAGCTGGATACAAAAAGATGATTGGGAATGGTTGTTGAAAAAGCATTACCTAACTGAAGAGTTTGAGGTAAATATTGTTGAGTGCCTTCAATTAGTTTTATCATTATTATGGTGAGTGTCTTGATGCTTGAACATTTTATTCGTAGAAAATAAGTGTAAGAAACGCAAACAATAGAGCCCAAGGATCAATGCCTTGTCTTCTTGGAAGCAAGTCAATCGGAGAGCATATGAAAAGGTATTAGTCATTTGGGATGATTTCAATGTTGTTTCCCTCTATTCTCTTCTGTTTTCTCTGTTTTGATAATTGTTAGGTTGGGTAGTTTGAATGGTGGGTTGCCTTAGTAGTCATGGTGCATATCTTAACTATGTAGTTAATTAAATTTTGTTTAGATAGACGAAGAATGGAATGTTCCAAGTTTTGCAACCATGTTTTCTCTCTCACGTAAAAAAGGTGGAGCAATCGATCCTAAGTCTGCAGGAAAAGAGGTATGCTAACTTTCGTTTATGTCTATACAGTCTAATATTGCTTATACTAAACTAATATAAGGCCTTGTAATTGTCAATAGGCAGAAATTATTGAAATTGTACAAAACAATCCAGGAATTGATGATTTGAATCTTGTGGAGAAATGCTTCGGGCCACAAAATCATGGTAATGTACTCGGATTTGGAGGTGGGGTAACTGCTAAAGAATTAAGGGGTTCAAGTAAGGAAACAAATGTCGAGGTTGCAGCTCGACTACAACGTAGTGAAGAAGAAAAATCTGCTTTAGAAGAAAAAAATGCAGCTCTTGAAGCTGAAAAGTTAGCTAGTGCAGTTGAGAAGGAAGCACTACAAAATCGTATTGTCAATGTTGAGGCTAATTTTATGGTCCAGATTAATAGCTTGAGAGAACTAGTTTTACTCCAACAAGCTGCTTCAAGAGTTCCTCTAGCTACCCAAAATCAACCCATCTAATCAGGTTTGCTCTGTTTTCTCATCCAATCTTGAATGTTTCAAATTTTAGACCTTTTCAATCCTTTTGATGACATGTTCAAGATGACATAACAGATTCATGAATAAAGTTTTATAGAATTTGTCAATTTGTTTATTGTCATACTTGTAGCAGTTAGAACTCTGAGTATGTATCCATTGATGTAATACATGAATGTGATTTTATTATGCATATCTTTTCATTGAAATGTTTCTGCTGTTCATTGGCAGCATTCGTTGGCATCAGACAAAGTTGTTTGTCTATATATACCTTCAACTATCTGATATGAAATATCTTTAGAAAATTTATATTTTTCTAGCATAAGTTCAGAAGTTAATATTGGTTGTCTTTCGTGTACAGGTGCGGACTTATATGTTATTGGATTCAGTGGACAAAGCCAGCATGGACATTCTGTATATTCAATGTCTTTTGAATTTTTGCCAGGCTCTAGTTCTCATGTCCACTATTTTGTTTATAAGGTTACAATATTAAGAATACCTTCGATGAGAAGTCAATATTGTTGCCTTATTATCAAAGAATATATGTTAAATTTTAAAGAAATTTTCAAGCTGTTTGTAAGTGATTATCAACTTATGAAATTATTAATATATTATTAGGTTTATATTATGATTGTTCGAAGCAATGTAATACTGACAAATAGTATCATTGGCAAAACACCCAACAGGGTCGTTATTATTTATTATTTGATCGCTAATAATGACCGGATTCTATCCACAATATTTATTAATAACGAGGGTGGGATGATACTCGCCCACATGTAGTGACGGGGCTCTCAGTCGGCATTGCTCATAGGACCAGTGGCAGGAAACTATTTTCAACGACCGGAAGCCCACACTCTCGGCATAACTTTTAACGACCGGTAAGGAATTTCCCGTCGTTATTGGCTTTTACCGGCAAAGCCTATAATGAGGGGTCCTATACCATTGTTAATACCCTTTCCCGACCGTTTTTGGACAATTAACGACCGGTTTTGACCCTCGTTAAAGCCTCTTTTTTGTAGTGTATCCCATACTAAAATTACATTCTAAATGATAATTGGTATGTCGACGACGACATAGAGCCGCCGGAGGTGCCAGTATGGGGCCCACTCACTGGGTTTGTGAAGGGACAACAATTTGGTACGAAGAAGGAGGTGCAACACGCTATTGAGACTGAAGCAATGACTCAGAGTTTTGAATGGTGCACAACTCATTTCAATGCGAAGAGGCTCATAGTTAGATGCCAAAATCAACAAGAGGGATGCAAGGCTAGGATCCGGGCCATCAACAGCAAGAGAGTCAGTCATTGGGTCATATCCCATGCGGTGAACACTAACACATGTGTGTCATCCATAACATCCCAAGGCCACCGACAATTTAAATCCAAGGTGGTTGTCGTGGCTATCAAGCATCTAATTGAGCAACAACCCAACCTGAAAGTGAAAGCCATCATCGCCGACATTTCTAGTCGTTATGGATATATTATTAACTATAAGAAGGCATGGCATGGAAAGCAGAAAGCCACGGCCACCGTCTTTGGTGATTTGGAAGAATCATATGCATTCCTTCCCAGATTGATTTTGGCATTGGAGGCATCTAACCCTGGTACTATTTTCTCCCCCCCCCCCCCCCCCCCCCCCCCGCTACCAAGATGAAGAGATCCAGTCGTCGGAGCCCGGTAACAAACACCATTTAAATTGTATTTTTTGGTCATTCAAGCCATCTATTTATGGTTTTAGCTTCTGTGCCCGGTGATGCAAGTGGATGAAACATTCCTTACCGACAAGTATAAGGACACTCTCCTGATTGCCAGTGGAGCGGATGCAAACAGACAAGTCTTCCCTTTAGCCTTCGCCATTGTTGAGGGAGAGAATATTGAAAGCTTTGCAGGGTTCTTCAGACAAATTCACCTCCACGTCACCAGGAGGACGATTTGTCTCTCCTTCACAAAAGTTGAAGAAATGTGTCTGCTTTCGCCATCTCTCCACCAATGTGGTGATGAGTTGACGGTCGATCTTTATCCCTAAAAAGTGTCTAATCGACTCCAACCTTGCCCTTTTGAGAAATGGCAAGATGGCGTCATTCCATGGGAGCACCTTGGTCATACCCCTATAATGGATTATATGGTGTGCATCCTAGCGAAAAATTGAACTTCCACCATAAGTTTATGGTATACTAATTTAAAAATATATTATAACTAACAATTTAAATAAACAAAATCAAGGTTTTTTTTAAGATATTTACATAATTTCGTAAAACAAACGTATTCAATTAATTAAAATAAACATAATTTTAAATGAATAATAATTTAGAGAGATACATATTCAAATATTTGAAATTAATAAACTTAATTTTGTACACATACACATAAATCCATGACATTATTGTGTAAATCGTATTGGTTGTTTTCAATAATTGGATCGAATAAAATGCAACACTTGTTAGACTATTAGAAGAGGTATACATCTTCTTAGAAATGCAGCCTTTTTGACAGAAAAATGGGGGATTCGGGGATCGCTTTAAACCCGATTTTCTCAGAAAATGGGAGGATCATGATAATCTCTTAAGACCCCATTTCCTTAGGCAACATCTCTTTTATAAAGAGTATAAGTAAGTGGTCGCATTGTATTAGCGCAAACCATTGAAACTAATCAATACAATTAAAAATTATCAAATTCATTTTATAAACCACTAAGTACCTTAACAAAATAAAAAATGACAAATGATGAAGAATTGTATGTACCTGGTGATCGTTCCAAACATCCCCTGAATGATGGTTAGGTTGGTTGTACAACATGCTTGGATCAATCGGTCCTTGATCAACATAATATCGTTGGTTGTATATATCTACATCGTCCCCAACCTACGAGAGAATAACAACAAGGTTAATTAGTCAGCATATAGATTAATTATAAAAATTATAACAACAACAAAAATTGGGTAAAATGAGTACGTACCGTTTGATAGTCATCATAAAAAATACCCTCGTCTTGGCACCAACCATCCATTTTTTCAATAAGTCGGACAAAGATTCGATGGATTTTTGAAGGAAAACCCAAAGAAATATTTTCTGATAGCATGTCGGAATTAGCCGCAACCAACATACCACTATTTTCTAAGTTTTAGAGGGGGGGGGGGGGGGGAGGGGATGGATAGAGAGATAATTTTAGAGAGACAAAAGAATGAGTTTTGGTGTGAAAAAATGAAGAGGGGGAGGGGGTTATAGGATTCGGAAGGGGGCGGTTTTGTAATTTTCACCAAAAGAAATTTGCTCTCTTAGCAAATGGTTTGCGTTTTTCGAGGCGAAAAACCGCCCTCTCCTGTCGCGGTTTACGATCCCTGACGCAGATCGATGACCTGGCGCACGGTCCGTCGTAGGATAGCTCCCTGATCCGACGGTTCAAAAAACCGCTGCTTCCCTATGCAATTCATAGGCTGCCCTAGAAGAAACCGTGCATTTGGCACGCAGTTTCTTTTTAAACAACACATTTGGCTGGCGGTTTCTTCTTAAACCGCCCCATTGGTATTCAATTTCTGAAGAATGATGCGATTTTTGGAATTTGTGTGGGCTAGATGCTATTTTTGTATTTTTTTTAAAGTGCTAGTTCTGGATTTTTGCCTCAATCACACCCATCAACTATCCACCCAACCCAATCCAACAAAAAATATAAATGACGATGTCACAATTATAGGATCAATTTGATATCAAAGACACCATCACAACACACCCCTACCATCGAGTTCAAACCGCAAAGTCGGGATGAAAAAGAAGAGCAAGGAGGGGAAACTGCGACACTCAAAAAGAGTAGGTACTTATGCGATTTTCAAGAATGTTTGTTGAGTCCATCCATCAGAAAAGGTTTCCTATTTCAGTACACAGCAGTCATTCAAGACTGACACACTGAAATTGGATTACCACTTTAATAAAACTAATAATAATGAATTAATAAATAACTCAAAGGAAGCAATACACTAAGAAAACAAAAATAAAAACAAACAAATAAATAAATTCTTTTCTCTCTCCCCTTCTGTCTTTTCTCTCCCTTTCTCCGTCTTTTCTTCTCCTCTGTTGAGTGAGCATACGATACTGCGCAACAGGGAAAGAAAAAGAGGGAACCGAAACAAAAAGGAGGAGAAAGAAATAACAGAGAGAAAACCGCCAGCCTCGCAGAAACCAGAGCCCACAAGGAATAATAAGAACAAGAAGCAGCAGCAGCAGCTCCGGAGTAATTTCTCACGTTCAGATGTAGTTGGATTACAATGAATAACCAGACGAATTCCGGGAAATAACTAACGCACAGCGGTTTCTTGCTTTCTTTATTTTCTTTCCGTTTCCAGGAGCTCCTCCGGTGGTTTCCAGGCTTCCGGGCTGGGCGGTGGTCCGATCAGTCTTCATTCTTATCGCCTCTCGAGTCTTGTCTGCTATGCCTGTAATGCTTCATTCCCTTATCTGCTGTGCATTGTTTTTGCCGTGGCTGTTGTTTGCTTTACTTTTTTTTTTTTTCTTCTTCTTCTGTGGATTGGCTGTTGAGTGAGTTTGATTCGTTATGCTTCGGTTTTGAGAAGCTGGAGTTTAGGGTTCTCTCCGGGATTTTTTTTCGTTCTGCTGTCTTGCTGTAGTTGTTGATTCGACATTGTTTCCTTTAGCTCGTCTTGGTTATCTCGAGTTGGAATGTGGGAAATGAGGAATGTGGACAAGTGTTTTTCCGCTAGATGGTGGGAACTGGGAACAAGGATGGCCTGTTCATTTTAATTAGTGATGAGGAGGCTGGAAACTTTTCTGCTATGCTTCTGGAGTTGCATTGATGTTGAAGTGCTATTGTTGGTTCGTTGCATTTCTTGAATGTCCATTTTTGGTACGGGGATGCAATGTGGCAGGTATGATAGAGTAGTAGGGAGCAATGCAATACAGTACGGTGTACTCGCTTTCTTCCCCGAAATTGATTGTTAATTTGTGGAAATTTAGAACCTTGAGAGCGAGGATTTTGTTGCAATCCCTTGTTTTTTTGATAATGGTGAAATTTTGTTGCAATCCCTTGTATCCTTGAACTAATATGCGTGATAGATTTCGTTTCTTGGAAGCTGGAGGAAACATGCAGTAGTATGAGTAAGGTTGAGGTCTTTTGGCAGCTCATTCCCAAAAACAAATACAATCTTAGCAAGCTTTTTTTACATTGATTCTGTCCAACCCATTCTATGAGAGAAAGTAATGGTTAATAGCTTTTCTGGGGTCTATGAATCTCGTCCTATGCTTTCTCTCAGTCCTTATATATCCTTCTTCATCCTTTTGGGGTTTTAGAGCTCTGAAACCTTGTGATATTTCTTTATTTTCCTCTTCCACTCTGTTTGATGCATCATTTTATTTATCCTGGTGTCTGCAGCATGTTGGTGTTGCTTTGTAATCTGTTCATGGCTCAAGAATTCCTCGTTTGCTCTTAAAGACAAAAGAGTTTCGACAGCTTTGATGACACACCAAGGTCACTATCGCGTAATGCAACAAGTTCCCTATTCGAAGGCTTAAATGGCTGGCAGCAAGGTGCTCATAACATACAAGCGAAAGCTTTCATCATCTGGAACTGGGGCTGTGTACAGAGATGGCTGCTACGATTCTCTATCAGGAGGACCAAATAATGGTCATATAACTAGAGCATCAGAACACAATCAGCAGGTTGATGGGCTTAAAACAGAAAATCATCTTAACATTTTTAGATTTCAAGATATAAATTCTATTAGTAAATGTGGTGAATGTTCTTACTCTAAAGATTTGCACCTCTTGCATGAAATGATGCAGCAGAACAAGGTTTTTAAATTCTTGATGTACCAACAGTTTCCCTCCTAATATTCGATGAGAAGGTAGATCCAGAGTGTCTCTATGAACGGTGTATCGTATTCACTTATTGAGATTCTTTGTGCACAGCCTACATCCAGAAATGCGATGTTCTAAATGAATGAAATAGGCTACTTGATAAGAGAATGATGCTTTCCTTTGGTACTATAGCTATTTAGGTAGTTTGCTACTTCAACTAGGGATTGACACTTTAGAAACCCTTATCAGTTTTCATCAGTTCAGTTCATTTGTGTTAGGTTCAATTTTGATGATTAGAAGACCTCAACTATGTTTGGAAGCTAACTTGACTTTTCCCCCCCATCCTTGCCATTTTAGTTTTGAACATTAAAAGGACTTCAGTATTTTCAATTATCTCTTGTCTGTTTTTCTTTCCCCTTTCCCAGCTAAAAATTTCTTTTGTGCAGATTTTTCCTGGATGTGCTGTGTGTGGTGTCGGAGGCAACCTTTTGCAGTGCAATGACTGCGATCAATTGTATCATCATCATTGCATTGACAGCATCATTGAGGTATCCACTTTTTTCTTGAAGTAGGGACTTTCTATGTTGTCATTGAAATGGGTACATTTCATAAATCCTGATCCTCACAGCCCTCTATTGACCTTTTCCATCCTCTTCCTGATGGCCACAGCCGAAGCATATACACAATGGAGAAAAGTTAAGCTGTAGGTGTGAGCAGCAAGGTTCTTCAGGAAACGAGTCCTTCCGTGGACCCAATGAATATGCAGTTGGCAATGAATCTGGTATAAAGCTGAAGTCAGTAATTCCTGATAATGGTGGCTTTGGCATGGAAACTTCACGGTGCTTAGAGTCATTTGAGAAGAGTTCTTACACCCCTCAATCATCAAATGGGAGAAACTGCAATGTTGAATATGAAACAAATTCAAGTATCAAGGAGGCATCAAACGCTGCAGGCAATGGTTCAATCTCGACTGATCTACCCTGTAGATTACCTTGCCATTTTCTTGGGGAATCGAAGTCAAAATCTCTTATGACTTTTAGTCGGAGATGTAAAAAGAAAACTAAAATTACAATGACTGATACAAAAGAAAGTGACCTCCAGGAATATGGTCTGTCCCTTGAAAAATTTAGTAAATCTGCCTGTAGTGCAGCTTCTCCTAGAGACTATTATGCTGGTCCCTCAACGAGCCAAAAGCTTCTGCAGGAAGAACTAGACACGAGGACTTCATCACATCAGAGTCAAGATGAAGTATGCACTCTATCCTTTGAGAAAGACCACATTATTCTGTTTATTTGGATATACATGTATGTTTTCCTTCTGCTTTTCAAGTAAAGCCATTTTATCTGGTCATTGTTTCTAGTATCTTGACCATTGCACAATTCCCTTCTATTAAAGATCAATAAGCTAAGCAACTTACCATTTCCGGGTTTTGAAGTTATGAATATTGGAGCCTACAATCAGTGGGAATTTTATCCTTACTATTCCATAGCGGCCATAGGGGAACTTACTGTTCTGCTGATACTAGAGCATAAATCTGGAAGATAGAATTTATTATGTTGCCCGCAGCTTCAAGCTTGTCTTGTGAATCTGCATTCAGCCTGGCATCTTGTTTGTGAATAGAAATATGGTCAAAATCTTAACTATATGAGTTGCAACTGTTTGCTATCTACAGATTTGTGCTTAAGAGTTAAGGGGTCGTTTGGATGAGGAATTGTAACAGATCAATTTGACACAATTGTCTCGTTTTGAGACAATTGTACCAAATTGCCTCGTTTGCCAGCAAAAAAATTGGATGGATCAATCTGCCTGAGGTATTTTGAATTGATCCGTTTTGAGTCAATTTCAATTACCTGGGGTGGGGGCAGGTAATTCGAATTGACTCGTTTTAATTGCCTCATTTATAAAACGAGACAATTGATCAAATTGACTCATTTTTAGATTGATCCATCCAAACGACCGGTATTAAGCTTGAGCAGAAGCATAGCAAATTTTTTGTTGGTATGCTTTCTGGATGCCTAAAAAGCTCTAATTAGATGTTTATGGTGAAGGGAGGATCAAACTCCTGCATTCTGGACAAAATAGGCGTGGACAATAACAGTGACGTGTTTGCTCCTGAATCGAAGCCTGTAAGCTTAGTTAAGCATAATAACCACAGCCTTGTACCTGCAAACCTGTAGCTAGGCTACTTGTGGAGCTTCAGGGTTTTCTTACCAGCTGCTAATGAAACCATCCCTGTGGAGATTTTGGATTTCAGATATATTTTGTTTTGAAATATGAGGTTGTTACAACGTCTAATTATTGAAGTATGTCATAGTGTACAACCACCTTAAGGAGAATATAACGTTATACTTATTTCCCTTTGGTAAGAGCATATATATTTTGAAGAATACCTTTCAGCATGTGAGTAGTCTCGGCTTGGTTTGAAAAATTAATGTTTCTTAATACGGTTCTAGGTGTATTGAACATTTCAATACTGATCAGGAGTTGCTGTATTATTTCCTTTTAGGTATGAGAGCTTTTTGTGTTTTTTGACCATCTGGAATTGTGTTTGCTTTGACAAGTGATAATTTCAAATAAAAATATTATGGTGTGTGCTTATCTCTATCGATAGTAAACTGCATGCTGCACTCCAAATTCCCTTAAATCTTAATTGTAAACTTATCCTATTATTATAATAGTTAATGCATTCTAATCTGTGTAGAGTTCTCATATATTTCAATTTTAATGTCCTTGGACTAACAGATAAAAGTTGATTCTGCTGACAAATGGGAAAGAGCCGCCCTGGAGACTGAGAAGTATGTTTATGTTGCTTGGATATACCATTGCTAGTTAAATTTCTACTTGGAACAATTTAATAATTTTATGGTGATTATACATTTTAACAGTTTGGTAAATGATGGAGAAGAATTGCGTGATTCTGAAAGTGTTTGCAAGGACGACATTCCAGGGCCTGACCACTTGCTGCACCCTATTTCTGAAACTGGTATGGATAATAGTGACGCTGCTGAAGATTATTCACGGATTGTTCTGAAGGATGATATCAAAGATCCTTGTGATTCTCCGGTATTAGATGGTCGGTTACAGAACCATAAATGTCAAGAGGAACCTGAGGTCTCTGCATGCAATCTTGAGAACGAAAACATGCCTGGTTCTGGAACAGATGTCACACAACCGTATCCAGATCTCCTTGAGGCTCCTAGTATGATTCTTTCACTTCCCAGTAGAGGCTATATGTGCTTGCTTACTATTTCTTGTCCCACTATTTCTTTCTACTGCTTGATAGAACACATCTGAAGTTTCTTTTATATATATGTACCAGTTACTAACAATGACCAATCACAGAATCTGGTTGTACACCCAACTTCAATGAGGATTTGGAAATCTATAAGGATGCTGCTAATGGTGTTTCAGAAACTCATCGTGATTCTCAAGAGTCCATGAGCATAGACCAGGCTGCTGTTGCTCATGAGGTTTCTTACAGTGAACCAGTGGAAAGCTCAAATGTGAGAGCTGGAGATTCTTATCAGGTGCATCTAATCACGACTACAATTGGCATGCCGACTTCCATGCAGGAAATTGTTCCAAACTCAAAAGATGAAGGGGAAGCTTATCCTCTCTTCATAGAAGGTGCGGCCAAAAACAATTGTCTACAGGTGAGTGTATGTGCGTGTTGTCTTGGTATTTGGTACTTTAGACTGTTAGACTGTGAGGTCCCGTAGAGTCAGTTCTGAAAATGTTACCACTCACATCTGACTGGTTCGCTCATTCTTCCATGCAAATTGCTCCAGCTGTTTTCAGAAGAAAGAGGCAAAGATTCTTCCCCATTAGGAAGTGTTAAACCAGAAGGAATTACTGGACCTATCATTCTGGAAGAAGTGAAAGTTCTTCCTGCAGAAAATGGACATACACAAACTTCTTCCATATCAAGCGGTTCTTCATTGGATTTGGATTTATCCTTGCATATGGACCCTAAATGGGGAGACTATGCATCAGGGACACCCTGCCCCCAGTTGCCTCCTTGGAAGTCCAATGATGAAAACATAAGATTTCACACTGAAGTGCCTGAAGCTTTCCCGAATGTTGGAAGTTCATTCCTTCGACAAAGGATATTACTGGACAGGATTGCAAATAGAGCAAGTCGTTTGCATGCACAGGGCGGTTTTCAAGACAGGCCAGATGCTACTTTGTGGTCAGACCAAGAATTGGATTCACTTTGGATAGGTGTAAGAAGACACGGCAGAGACAATTGGCTTGCAATCTTAAGGGACCCAAGACTACAGTTTTCTCCATGGAGAACTTTGAGGGACCTTGCTCTCAAGTGGGAGGAGGAACAAATTAAATTACTAGATGGCAAACATGCTTCACGATTCAATTGGCATGCAATGAAAGAGCAGGTTTATGTACCGGGTTACCCAAGCGCTACACCCTGTTCAGATATTCATGCAGAGAGATATGGCAATGGTGAACTGAGCTGCAACTCATTGCCAATTAGTAGCCCTTTCACTTCTTGGGTCCCGAGAGGTAATCTACCCCACTGGCTAAAAGAAGTGGTAAGCACTCCTCCAAGGCTGATGGAAGTAATTCCAACCAAAGTATTTTCATCCATTGCTCATCCTGGGGTAACACACATCACTGGACCATATTCAGATTCTTCTGAGACACATATTGGGGTGAGAAATGAAATGCCAGGTGAGCTACAGCTTTCAGGAGGTGCTTGCTGCTCAGCTGTTCCATTGGCAACAAGTTATGGAGTTAATAAAGCTAGTTTGACTTCAGTGTACCATGTTAATAAGCCAGATGATGTTGCCACAATCGATGATGATGCATCTTCTGAAGAGACGATATCCGATGATCACGGTTCTCGGATATAGTTTTTGAAGAAAGGGCCATGCAAATGAGAACTGTATGAATGTCTGTAAATTGATGCCAGGAGTTATGTTCTGTACAATTCTGGTACTGAAGCAATGTATAAGGTCGATGCGGTCACTTTCGCTCAAGAATCAAGGCCACACTTAACATCCGAATGTTATGTTCATAATTTGATGTATATGGTGCAAACCAGTGACAGCGGAATCAAAGTTTTGTACCTTGTAGATAGGCGTGTCGTGTCTTTTATATCAATGACAAGTTCCTTTAGGATGGCTTCTCTGCTGGATGTAAGGAGTCACAAATTTAGCATTATGGAGGGAGTGACCCGTCATTAGCAGTGGAAGCAGATACTCCTGGGATGTGAGGTTTTCGGTTTTCGTCTCCTCTTCCTTCCCCTCTTCATAGGATGGACTCTTAGGTAAGTGCACTGAAACCAGCAAGAGAACACAGACTCCATTAATCATTACTGTCTGCATGACATTTTGGTGATGATTCTTTGACGGATCAAATAAAAATGGCAAGCTATAGTCAATGGTAGGTATGGTATGGTAAGCTTCTGTCATATACCATATTAAATGGGACATCAGTAAAAGTGTAGTTTTTAGCTGGCATTACTTATAATTTTCTGCTAGTAGCCCTGGAGGGAAAGTTTTTTTATTTATTTATGGATTCTATTTTGCATAAGGCTGTGTTTAGTATATTTTCAATTTCTGTTTTCTGAGATGGAAAATATTTTTAGTTATGTTTATATCGGTTATATTGGCAATAAGATTTAGCGACACAACAAAAATTAGCTAAATACAGTGAACAACTAAGTAGATTGTTTGCGGTTTCCAAACGGTGTCTTGTGAAATCGTATAATTTTAGGGTAATGACTATTTATTAGCCAAACCTTTTTTGAAATCTTTTTTATTAGCCAAAATTATAGAAATACTAAGAATTAGCCAAATATTAACTTTCAGTTAGCAATTTTGTTAGTAATATTGACTTGGCAACATGATACGGATTTGAAAGACTTGAAAGAGACACATGAAGGTCAACATTTCACAATTTTAGCATTTTAACTAATAAAAGAGTTATAAATTATTAACGATAACGTATAAATGCCTAATATTTTGATGCATTACGAAAGATTTGGCTAATTAATAGTATTTTAATAGGTTTGGAGAATATAAAAGAATTTGATAAAAGTTTGGATAAAAAAATTGATATTACCTATAATTTTATTCAAATGAGTCTATGACTAATCTCAGTGGACCCACTTCTTACATATGTCCCCTTTTCATTTCGTATAACTAATCGCTAAAATCTTATTGTCAATCTTATTGTCTATGACTAATCTGAGTTTATTATGATGTATTGTGGAAGAATATCTTTTCATTATCCACACTCATGATTGAGGTCATTCTCAAATGCTCTTTTAGGTAATGAGAGATTTGGAATATGATCCGGGACAAAAGGTTTGTCCTTGGATTTGCTCTTGGTTGTCAACTTTCTTCTTTGTCTTCCCTCTCAACTTTGAGGTTCCTCTTCCCCCACTCTCTCTCTCTGGGCTCACCATTCTTATTTTCCAACACAGGAACCCGGAAAACCGGTTTAGGCGATGTTACTTACGACCATTTTATTGAGAAAAGAAAAGATGTGGCAACGACCCGCTAACATGTGCCATTCCGCGCTCAACCACCAATAACCCAAAATTGGGCTCCTTGCTACCCACTAAAATGAAACATTCTCCAACAGATTGTAAATTATAAATTAGTTTTGCAAGAAGAGAAACCTGGAAGTAGCTCGAGCTCAGCTCGTTTATTAACGAGTCCAGTTCGAGCTAGCTTGTTTACTAAAATCTTGACTTTTATTTGGTATTTTATTTTGTATATCATGATACATATGATTTATTTTGTTAGCTAATCTCATATTATACTTTGTTGGTATCATACTTTGTTGGTATCATATATCAGTTAGCTAATCTCATATTATACTACAAATCATGTTATTTCATAGTATCGAAGCAATCTATGATACATAATTCTTTTTAAAGTATAAAATAAGATATATTTGCTCACATACTTAACGTGTTAAACGTTATATATGGTGAGATGTATAATTTAACAACCATATGAATTAAAATCATAAGATATAGATTGATTCGTCCAAAAGTTGGTAATCGAGTTGGCTCTCTAGCCACATGTTGAGACATATCATGAGCTCTAAACGAGCCAGCTCACGAGTTTAGCTCAACAAGCCACCGAGTCGAGCTAGCTCGCGAGCTTCACGAGCTGAACAAAGGTGAGCTCGTGTTCGGCTCGTTTATTAACGAGTCGAGTTTCGAACGAGCTTTTCTCGAGTCGAACGCCGAGCCGCTCGCGAGCAGCTCGGCTTATTTGCAGCCCTACTTGGAAGCACTTTAATCTAGGGGTGGCAGTCGGTCGTCTCGGTTTAACCGAAAACCGAAAACCCGATTATCGGTTAAACCGAGCCACCCCCTATAGCTGTCGACCACCGACAGTGAGAGTGGTCACGGTTAGCCGGCCAACCGACCGGTCGGTTTCGGTTTTAGGCTCGGTTAGCCGGCCAACCGGAAAACTACCCTTTCTAAAAAAAAAAAAAATTAAAAGCAACAAAAATTATGCACCACTCACTCCTAACCCCTCTCACTTCTCGATTCTTCTTCTTCCTTTCCAGAGAATCGAAAAAAAAAAAACTAAAAGCAATATATCTCTCTCCCTACTCTCTCTCGATTCTCTTCTTCCTCTGGAAGGAAAATCGAAAAACCTTGCCGCCGCCCGCCAAGCCAAAATCGTTCTGCCTCTCCCTCAATCGCCGACATCCTCTCTCTCTCTCCCTCTATCTTCTCTTCTTCTGCGGGGGCAGGAGCTTCCTCTTTGGTGGCTTCTTCTCCTTCCACCTTGACGGTCTGCTCCGTCTCCTTTTCTTTCTCGGCCTCGGCGGCGACGGGAGGGGCTTATTCCTTCTCCTTCTTCTTCTTCTCTTTGGTCTCTTTGACCTACTGCCGGCGATGGCCTCCGCCGCGGTGAGGATGTGGAGCGGGTGTAGGTGGCGGGTTTGGCGGAGGTGCTGGTGGAGGCGAAGGGTTAGGCGGCGACGGTGGTTTAGGTGGTGGGATTGGAAAAGGTGGAGGTCTAGGTGGCGGAATAGGTAAGGGAGGTGGGCTTTGGGGTAGGGGTGGCTATTTGGACCGGGACCGGATTAAAAATCGAAAACCGGACCGTATAACCCGGACCGAGACCGGACCGGGACCGGATAGTAAACAATCCAATCCAATCTTTGGGCTTAGATTTGAGGTAAAAAACCGGATAAGAGAGCTCAACACCCAAAACTTAAGGGTAATTTGCATAAACGGTCACAAACCTTTGCACTTAGTACAAAACTTAACCAACTCCTCACCCTTTAAGGCCTTAGGCCACTCAAATCCCACAATCTCAATGTAAAATCAAGACCAAATTGGGACCGGACCGGATCAAGACCGGACTGTATCCAATCCAATCTTTGGTCCTTATATTTTCAAAAAGACCGGACTGGACCGGATCAATTTGGGCCAATTTAACCGGACCGGACTGTATAGCCACCCCTACTTTGGGGCGGTGCCGGCGGTGGGAAGGGCGATGGACTTGGCGGCGGAGCAAGTGGCGGGTTTGGCGGAGGTGTTGTTGGCTATGGCGGTGGTGAGACGTGAGAGTGTAGATCTACTTCTTCTTCTTCCTGGATTTGGTAAAAAAAATTTATTCAAGATGTAGGAATGGAGATGAATCTAGACAGGATTTTGTGAAAGGTTAAGTGGGTCTCGGTTGGCCCGATTACTCGGATAACCGCAGTTAATCACTGTCTGTTACTCGGTCAACCGACCCCTTCCTTTTCCCATCCGACCACCGACCGTCAAGGTAACCGGTCTGTTTCCGGTTAGCTGGTAACCGGCGATTGTAGGTTAAAACCGGCAGTTACCTGCTAACCGCAAACTAAAATGCCAGCCCTACTTTAATCCTTATTAAAACAACATAATATAATACTACTAGTCGTCTACTACTGCTACTAGTAATAATAATCCAGAAATAGCCATCCTCATCGATCGATTATTGTGTTTGGAGGTGAGATGGATACTTGGCCGCCGGCGGTCCGAGGCTGTTGGATACCAAACTCGCCGCCGCGTCACCAATTTAGGAGATTCCGAACTGGAAACCAAGCGAAACTAATAAGGTTGTTTCGTTTCTTCTCGGAATTAAAAAAAAAAAAAAAAAACAAACCCAGAAGCCGGCAGCCTTGTGCATCAGTAGTATCGGTCGAGATCAATATTCCCTACAAAAGACAAACAAACAAATGGCAATGAAATAAACGAAGTGTATCCCCGATGGCATGGATTTCTATCCATCCACCTCGAACAGCATCCATCGGAGAGGAATTGATAATCTCCACGCTAACTCCCTCCCAATCTCCGCTAGCTATTTGCCCCAACTCATTGATTGATTTATTTAAGCGAGGAAGCCTGCGACGGTGTCTCGTCTAATCGATCTCCAGGCTGCTTTTGTGGGGTAAAACCAGATCAGAAGCTCTCCTCCGTTAATGTCGGACGAGCGGCGGAAGGCGGCGGCATTCATCAAGCTGGTCCACCCCAAGGGCATCGTGGAGCGGCTCACCCGCCCGACCCGGGCCTCCGAGGTCATGAAGCGCTACCCGCGCCACTGTGTGACCCGACCCGACGTTTTCAAGAACCCCTGGATCGCAGTCCACCCGGACTCCCTCCTCAAGCTCGGCTGCGTCTTCTACGTCGTCCCTTACCACACCATCGACCGCTTACTCAAGCAGCACTCGCCAAATCTCGCCGACCGGCCGCGGCGAAGGGGATCTACGGATTGTTCCACGGAGATGATCGGTTTCGATCGGCTCGTCAAGCACAGATCCGAGAGATTGAAGGTCGATTGCCGGTATGGCGAGTTGCGGGACCCGATTTTCCCCAACTGCTTGGTCGGGGGCCGCACGGAGATCATCGGCGCCGATTCTCCTCAGATATGGCGCCCGGCAACGGCGTTGAGCTACTACAAGAAGGATGCCGAGTCGAGCGAGCCGGTGGAGAGCCGTGGCGATTCGTCGTTCTCGATCGACATCGATTCGTTCGGTGGTGGCGTTCGCCGGCGGCACCGACGAGTCAGCGGCGGAGGCGGGTGTGGTGCTGAGCTGGATTGTTCTTCTTTTTCTTCTTCTTCAGGATCGAAAAAGCTGAAGCCGTGTCTGCGGAAGAGCAGTAGTCGCAGTGGGTCGAGAGGGCCGGATAGTAGCAGGGTGAAATTCACGCTTCCCGGAGAGGATGACGGCAACTTGAGAGTTGAAATCTTTGAGTTTCAACGAGCCGTTTGAACCAATCGTTTGCCCTCCTAGTCTTTCTTTTCATCCTATTCTTCTGCCCCTTCCCTTTTTTCTTTTCTTATGAGATGATATTCTGCCCCTTCACTTGAGACAAGAAACGAACACATAATTATGTACTCCGTACATGAATCAATTTTGGGTGTGTTACTACTTATAAATATACTAGCTTTGTGCCCGGTTCGTTAGCCGGGTAATATTGTATTCAATACTCATTGGATATGTTCTATTTTGTTTGATTACTTTAGTTTGTGGTGTTCCCATGACAGAGGGTATAAATACATAATGATAATTGTAATTGTAAGAAGATTAATCATAGAACTTGCTCAGAATATGAAGCTCTTAGAGAACGATTTAACTCAACCAATACCACCTAACATGTTTAAATGTGATTAGGTGGGTAAAATGCGTAATTAGATGTAATCAAATATATTATTAATTTTAGTAATATTGATGTATATAAATATAGTTATATTATTATGTGTAAAAAGTTGATCTCATATACTTAAACATTAAGAAATATTTGTAAAATCATTCTATAAATGGACTTATGTTGTTTTCCCCTTATTTTCCTAATAAAATTTCTTTTACAAATACATTGCAACAAATACATGATCTAAAAAAAAAATCTATAACAAAACATTAGCAATTTGAACTTGGGATACATTATAAATTATTACACCTATGATTCGTATATTTTCATTTAATCAGAATGAGTAACTGACAAAAAAGACCGTTGATATTTTCCATCATGATTATTGGATAATGCAAAACACCACATATGATTGAACTTCTTACCAAGTAGTTTCAATAGAAAAGACAAAAAGAAATGGAAAAGGAATGAAGAGAAAAAAGGAAGAAGAACATGTTAGTAACTTGACAATGGAAGTTAAAAAGAAAGTAGGCATACTTACGTGATGAAAGCAACAATAAAGTAGGCCAGCTGCATGGTGAATACATGTGATGGGTGACGGCGTCTTAGGCCGAGCCCATTAATATTATTATTGTTGTTGTTTTATTACTATTAATTGTTGGGATATTATGTTATTATTCGGGTTATTCGTATTAGTTTGGGTCTAGGATTATTATTACGTATCTTGTTTAGAAAGTATTCATTTACTTGTTGTTTTAGGTTTGGGTTTCCTTGTCTTAAGAGGAAAGGGGTTTGTAGGATTAGTCCTATAAATATGTACATTTGCTCTTCCTTTTATGAAAGTCGATGAATAAAGTATTAATAGTTAGTAGAGAAAAGTAGCTCTTTTATCGTGTTTTCTAGTTCTTTCGCTAAATCGCTCGAGATCACCGGTGCATGAAATCCCATTCCGCATCAACATGAAAAGAGTAACTAACATACATGGAATCCTAAGGCAGAATTTGGAACAAAAAAATACACGAAGAAATGTTACTACGTCACCCAGGAGCTGTAGAGCTAGTGACGGGTGTCCAAAACTAACATTTAACAGCAATGGTGGTATCCAAAGATGGTGGCAGAGCATTTACACAGATCGATCTGTGTCAGGGGAGGTGACAATGAGAAACAAAGACATAAACAAACTGGGCAAAGTTTTAGATAAATTAATTGGAATGAAATCTGCAGCGGGAATATACATGTACATCGACTGTCTGTAAGTCTCATCTCATGCATGCTCTATTCACCAATACTATAACATTATTTAATTAGTTCAACTTGCAGAATATCAAACACGATGTGAACTTTCTTATCATGGGTGTTTCATGAGCTAGCACACTACCTTGTTGTTTTATTGCTATTAATTGTTGGGATATTCTGTTATTTGGATACTAGTTTGTGATGTTTTGAATACTAGTATGTGCTATCTTGATATTCAGCAGATTTGGATATTAGTTCATTCATTTTGGGTATTAGTTAGTATATACTAACGAATCTTCTAGTTAGCAGAATAACTAGTCTGGGTGGCATTATACTTGTTCCTTTTGATCATGAGATCGAGGAAGAGAAAAACGAGCAATAAGTTTACCTGCACTTTCCGCCTGCTGTTTGCACGAAGTTGGTCCTGTAGTTTCAGATGGAAGTCCTCCATTTGTCCTGGTAAGGCAGATAAAAGAAATAAGTCTCAATGTACAATCAGACGACTCGTCGGCCTACCCCCCCCCCCCCCCCCCCCCCCCACCCCACACCCACCCACCCCAATTGAAAGCTGAAGAATTGCGTAGCATGAAGATGATTTTGCAGAGGTGAAGAATAGAGGCAGCGCCGACAACGGCACGGCTAGGCTCGAACGACCAATAGTAATTAATCACAGGGATTCTTGAAGATGCAGTCTCTAACGCCGTAGGAACGGAATACGGAGGAGAGGAGAGGTTGCAAATTCATTTTGCTGGTGGTAGTTGCGGACGAAGATGAAGAGATATCGGGGTAACTTACGTCTGGAACGTACTGAGATATATATACTCCAAGGCGTCCCTGCTTTTACCGCGAGGACATTGGATGACCAATGACCTCTCCTTCATTGATAAATTCCATCGCTGCAAGTTAGGAAATCAGGGCGAATAACAGATGCGGTGTCGGGGGAAATATGGTTTTAGAGGGGGATCGGATGAGAGGGAGTGAATAGTTTGTTGTCAGGTTTCCGACCGTTACTCGTCGTTGATTCACAGGCCGAGCTGCGGAGGTGAAGAAGGCGAAACCGACGTTTAGGGGGTGTTTGATTTTGTTTTCTCTTGGAGTTATTTAGATTTGCTGGATGACGGTTTTTCTTTGGAGCGATTGTGATTGGTTGAAACTCCTGCTGACGTGGATGCACTGAGGGGCTGGCAAATTTGAATTCGTGAAGTTATTTTTTGGAAAAGCCTTATTATATTTTATAGATAGATATAGATAGAAGATAGATAGATCCTTCATAGTTCTTGTAAAAAAACCAAACTATTTGGTATCAACCGACAGGATATATGGTGATATATATTTGGATTAAAATCATGCAATATAAAAACATTTCAATTTAAACAAAATAATAATCAAACCATTTCCAAAAAAAAAAATCTTAATCGTTAACTATTCATCAAGTCAAACAGTTGACCCTAACGTGACACATTAATTGTTGAGATTGAAAGTTTTTAGCAACATGTGGTGACACGAAGTAAAATGTTTGAATATGACACATGAATATTTATTAAATTTTTTCTGTAATAAACAATCTAGTTTCAGTTCTCCTGATCAAGATGATCAAGCGTCCAGAAAAACCAAGTCGGGGAATACACTACTAACAAGATGACCACAGGTCGGTGCAAATCAAATATCGAAAAGCGGATAAGCTAGCAAGATCTGTACAAAAGTTCGTGTTACCCATGGACACAAGCAAAATTTCCTCTTTGAACTACCAAAACACAACATGCCAATCAAGACTAGGACCTCCAAAAAATCAGTTGCGCGCTCCTTCCATAAGAAGTACACAAACCAACACTAGATGGAATTACAAATTCTAGAAAAATGGACCACTAGATTTTGCAGCAACATAGGCCTCCTTGATTTTGAGCTCCTATGAGTATGGCCATGTTGTCATCAACAATCCAGAAACAACAGCAAATAAAGTTACAAGCAAACAAGCATTGTCAAATAAATGATCACGACTTTCCTCAGCGGAGTTACAAGCAAACAAGCGTTGACCAAATAAATGATCACAACTTTCCTCAACAGAGTTACACAACATGCAAGTTGAATCAGAGATTTTATCCCATGTTTTGAGCTTATCTCTAGTTGTGATTCTATTGAGAATGATAGTCATGCATTAATTATGTGTTTGGGATGAACATACCTCCCTAGATGAGTTGTCACTAAGGGACATTAGAACTTGAACATCTGTTTACCTTCCCATATCAGCTTGCCCTCATGATCCACATCAAGTCGATATCTGAATAAGGATATGCGCTTCAGGACTTGTTACCAAATCCAAAAGCCTGTGGAAGATGAAGAAATAGTCCAGAGATAATGACCTTTAAGACGAAATCTTTCAATCCAAGCTACTCAAAAACTCCCACTCGTATAACAATCATCCAAAGGAGGTGAGCCAGGAAAGTGACATTCCAAACAAACAAGTCTTTGATGCCAAGCTTCTTACCTTTTTTGGAATGTTAACAGGTCCTATGGGACTTTGGCTTTCCCTGATCGATCTCCATGCCAAAGGAAGTCGGTCCATATCTTATGAATACTGTCAAGAACCTTCCTATGCAAGATAAGGATATTACATTCATAACTAAACAATTGAGTAGATAACCGATGAGATGAGCTAAAGTCGACTCGTGTAAGAGAGCTTATCAGCCCTCCACGAACAAAGCCTACCAGATATCTACTCGATAAGCTTCATGAGAATAGTGACAGTCCAAAGTAGCGAACAAGAAGAATACCTTCATTGAACTCGGGGAGCATTTTTAATGTAAAAATGGCTACCTCCAAAGAATACCACACACTTTTAGGGGTACAGCTGATGTTGAAAAGTGATAAATCTTCTCAAGAATCTACTTCACATCAAGAAGAGAAGCACGTGACCCTTCACTTAGAATCAATAAATTGTATGTGAAGCTGAGATATGTAAGATTAATAGCCTTGCATTGTGGATGATAGGGGAGTTGAGAATTCTGAGAAGCAAGCTCTAGTAGAGAGAGGTTCCAAAGCCACTGTGAAAAAGGTATATAGACAAAGAATATCTCTGTTTAATTGCTTTATGAGCACGAAAGTAGCCAAACATGGATATGTGAATATTAACACTGAAGAAGGAAGTGGTAAGAAAAACTTTAATCCATTTCAGAAAACTCGTAGGGAAGTCCATCACTCGCACTACACTTAAAAGATAACCTCAGCCCACCGAATCAAAGGCTTATAAAACTCACAGGAATTTCTGATTATGCGAAAGAGTCCCCCATTTTTAAAAGTTTTAAAAGGGTGAATTGTATCTTCCAGAAATGCAAAATCTACCTATCAAGACATTGTTTCATTAGATAATTACCATGTTGTTTTGAGAAATAAAGTTTAGGTTAATCCCAACATGCGAGGCATCTTTTTATTTCACAAAAATTGGGTTTTGGATGAGATACTAGTTGATCGTTAGTGGGGAAGTCCTACAAGGTGATGCCAGTTCCTCTCTAGCACAAGTAAAATATTTACCCATTGAGTTGGTAGCCAACTTGAGGATGTGTTTTTAAGCGCAAGGGTAGAACTTCGGGTACCCCTTAACTTCATTGACCCTCCACACGAGTTGAAGTATAGAGGTTTCTAGATCTTTCTAAACCAATAACCATTTAAGGCTCTAGTAAATATAGAGCTCTCCATACCAGAAAATTTAGAAAAAGAAAAAATTGATGAAGAAAAATTGGGAAAATGAAAAAGAGTATGTGTTATCAAATGCTTCACCCTATTACTCTAATGCATAAGTGGTTGATGCTTAGGTTGAAATGCATGATGTTCTTGCACGTTGATACGGTTAGGATTCTCTCGTGCTATTGTTGACCTTGTAAGTTCACTTATGATCCACTACCTAAGATCATGGTTAAGTGATGGTTATTGATTTTCATTGAGTTGTATGATTGTGAGTAGTGTTTGCTTGGAGACAAGCAAAGTTCAAGTGTGGGGTATTTATGATGACACTGTGTTTATAGTGTTTATCACTTCTATATTTGATATATTTTCCCCTTATATCAATGCATCTTTTGTTCTTTCTCTTATATACCATACCTAAATCATAACCAATGTAGTTAAAATATTGATTTTATTCTTAAAATATTACAATTTTACGATCTTACCTATGGGTTCTGATCCTGATTTTACTACTAAATATTTGAACCTTCAAATTCCATAAAATTCCGACTTAAAACCTTAAAATCCACAATTCATATGATTTTGTACGATTTCAAGGTTCATGTCAATTGGAGCAAAATCAGGCAGGTGGCATCAGATTTTGCCCCCGATCCGTGTCAAGTTCATTTCTCCTAACCCAACATGGAAAACACAATCCTAACCTGAAAGGCGACCCTCAATTGATTTACGTCTCTTCCTCATCTCTTCCTCTTCCTAACATCGATGCACAACTCCTTTCATCAACGAGTTCCATGATCACCCTTCCAATTAGCTTGTTAGTTTGTTCCCCCATCACATTCCCAATAAGCCCGATCCCCATCCCCTCCCAACATTTCGTTCATCTCTCAATCCTTTAGTACCAACATCCTCCGCCTTCCTTCGATTAAGAGGGATTGTATCAACCAATGAGTTACCTTTGTCGGATGATGGCAATCAAGGAAATACTGTGACATTGAAAGTACTTCAAGTGAATATGGGAATAATGATGTTATTGCTCAAGCAAATAGGCAATGATTTTATGAGGATAAGAGTGAGAGTGAGGGTGAGGATGATGATGTTTAGGACTTAGATATTAATTTAATCCTGAGATCTTATGTGATTTTTCATCTTATATGTTAACTATATTAAATGATTTTTATGAGGTTTGAGGTAGTTTATTTTTTATTTTACCTCACTTTTCGATTTTATGTAAAATCTCAATTTTGACTGCATTGATCATAACTCCATGATGAGTGGCCATTTAATATACTAGGTTTGTGTTTCTTGGTATGTTCTTTATGGTTTCAAGGTACAAAGCAACCTAGGAGGATTTGGATCAAGTATTGGATGACTCTGGAGGACCAAATGATCTATAAAGAGAAGAGTATGGAGCTTTCATGACAAAACAAGGTCCAATGACTGAGAATCCTACAAGTAACCACGAGTAGAGCCAAATAGGAGCCCAATGGAGGAGCACTCGACAGAAGCATAATCAAGAACCATCGGCGGCCAAACAACGGGTCCAACCACCTCCCAAACAAACCTGCATAAATCGTAACGAAATCTTTAGAAGAGATTTCTTGTGGGAAGGAGTCCAACCCACAAAGAAAATTAGTATCGGCTATAACCACCGTCCAACGACTGCTCAAAAGGCCAAGCCCAAAAAAGAGATCTTTAGGCCATGCTTCGGCCCCAAGTAAAAGAAACCATGTCCTACTAGGGTTAGACAGATTTTGGCCAAGTTTTACCACTATAAAGAGAGTGCTAGACTCTATAGGAAGTATTGCACAATTCCATTGAAAAATTTTGTAGGCACTTTGTTAGAGTGAGAGCTTATCATTCTTTGGAGAGGGTGCAGCTAAAGAGATGCCTTCATCATCGATGGTGGTACCCTCATTATCTTCTACGCACAACTAGTTCGACATTGATTGTATGAGAATGTGAATTTTGAAGCTTATGATGTACGTATGAATGCAATGATTTCATATGATGCTTATGTTTATGCTTATGAATTTCGATGCTTATGATGTATGCATGGAAGCTTTGGTTTCGATGCTTATGAAATTATCATTGTTGTTTATCTAGTATGAATGCTTTCTTATCATCGATGCTTATGACTGTATAGTATGTTACTATATGCACTGTGCTTAGTATCATCTAGGTTGTTAAGAAATTATCATCTAGTGATACCCCATTGATGTTACACGAGTATAGATGTAATGATCAACCATTTATACCTCGAGTAGTATCAATGCTAGACTGTTAGATCATCGGTGCTATAGACTATCGATATGGCTCAAGAGGCCGAGAATTAATATTGTGATATCCTCACTTATCTATTCTTCATTGATTAGGTGATGCCATGAAGTGAAAACATGCATTAGCTAGTCAAGTTCCCATTTTATGTGGCCAAAGCTCGAGTAGAATAGCCGTAGTAGAAGGGATAGAGTGATCTTATTGATGATTCATTGATGCATGATATTAATAAGTATTGATATGTATAATAGTACTGAGTACACTTTATTGTTCAATAATGTATCTTTACTTTTAGGGTTAATATATTTGTATGGTCCGAACTTTTCATAAATTAAACATCCTGGCCAATCTTTTCGATCTATAACTTTGTAGCCTCAACTATGCATCAAAGTTACGAAATTGGCCAAACCTGAGATTTGACCGTTATCTTGGACGGTCAAACGCATTGACTAATTGTCAACATGCCACGTCACTGCCAAGTCAGTATAGACCGCTTAATTTTGTTTTCCCCACCTATTACCATTTAAATTTTTTGGGACCCGGCATTTTTAAAATTTTCTTCATGTGTTCAAAATAAAAAAAATGGTATTTGGTGGAAAAAACCAAAAACTTTAAGTGGTCTATGCTGCCTTGGCCAGGATGTTTCATTTGTGAAAATTTTAGGCCATACAAATATATTAACCCTTACTCTTTTATGCATCTATATAATTTTAAAAAACCTTTAAAAACTTTACTCTTCCTGTTTTGTTTGGTTTTCTCGAATGAAAATTCCTAAAATTCTTTACTATGCTTGTTCCAGCTAAGACCGTGAACAGACTAAGTGAAACTGTGCGGATTTGCTCGATATCACGGTCCAGGAAGGATGTTCACGACCGTGAACTGGGACCGTGAACTGACTTTGACCTGGATGTAAAAGGAGGGTTGAGATGAAGGGAAAGAGGAGAAATTATTTTAATTTTTTTTCTCTTTCTCTATATTCCTTGGTCCCTTTCCCCAAATTCTAGAACCCACCAAGCTTTACTACAACCCAATTTAAAATAAAAAAAAACTCAAACCCTCCATCTCTTCCAGCCTCTGTCTCATTCACAATATCCTTATGTAATCCATAAATCCCAAGGAGGAGAGAAGGAAGAAATGGAGAAAGAGCAGGGAGACCCATAAATCTCTAAATCCAAAAACTCTAACCCTCCATCTCTTCCAGCCGACAATTTCAATTTCTTGTAGTATAGTGGCAGTGAGATTTGATGCCTCCTTCGCTGCCTAATTTGGCACATGTGATGTGAGTTGGAAAAATCAATTCTCTCCAAGCTCGACGTATTCCCTCCTCCACTCTTCCCTCCCACCGCCAACGCCATAGACAAAATCGACTTCTTCCCCTCTCCCTATAAAATGGGTTTCCCTTTCTTGTCATCTTGGTCGGATTCAAGGAACCCAGTCCTCGTCGTCCCGATCCTTGTCATCCCAGAACTCAGTTTGTCCGTGTCGAGTCTTTTGCCACAAATAGAGATTATCAATCTTCGGACGGGAAGAAGCGAAGATTAGGAGAAGAGAAATGTAAGGTATATGTGACTGGCCAAAATCAACGAGTTGATGCGGTACTCGCTCCTTGCCGATGGGATGGGTGTGAGGTCGGTGCTATGCCTCGCCGCTTGCTTCTGGTGGCGACGGAACTGGTGGATGCGACCGTAGGATTGACAACGACAAGAAGAAGAGGAAGAAGAGGAAGGGGAAGAAGTATTCAGGGCTTCAATGAAGCTATTGATGGTCAAAACTGAAACGATCTAGGAGTTTTCAAGGCATAGATCTGGTTTCTCGAATCAATTGAGGGTGGAGAGCTTGAAGTCACGGCGAAACAGAGGTGGATGTGGAGAGCTTTGAGGGAGAGGAAAAGTATAAGCAGCGGAAGAGAATATTTTAAGAAATTTTAAATTAATTAAAAAAGGATAATTTCTATCTAGGCACAGTTTTTGATAAAACATTGCCATGTCAGCAAACACTGTTAGTACAGTCAACATTTATTATTATTCCGTTAAAGTTATTGACGGAATGACTATATTTGTGTATTTTTCAAAATTTGACTATTATTGTCATAAATTGTAAGTTATGGCTATGCAAGTGTATTAAGACTAAAAAACCTCATTACGCCAATTAGTTCATCACTTACTAAACCACTTGGATATAAAATAGGAGAGAGGGACAACAAAGGGGTCGTTTGGAGAATGGAATTTAGGGTGTGGATTAATTGAATCCGCAGATTTTGTAGAAAGTTAAGTTTTTTTTGTTGCTCTTTGTATTATGGAGTTTAGTTTTAGCGATTTCAGATCTCTAAAATCTACAGATATCAAACCTCTCATAATCAGAGAGATTCTATATCTTGATTTTTCCCCCTACTTTTCTCTTTATTTTTTTATTTATCTATCATATTAAATATATTTATCAACAACGTTTTTAATATTTCTAGAACCACTCTAGTTTTTTATTAAGGATAAACATGTTATTTAATATAAATTAAATTCTTATTTTCATTGAATGTTAACAATCGCAATTACCAAACAATAAATATTTTAAAATCTATTTTCAACCATACGAAGAGTTAGAATCTTTAGATTGTTGACAATCTATAGATTTAAAATCATATTCTTCAAACGACCATCAAGATTATAACTGACAAGACATTGTCAAGTTCTTTTTTATTTATTTATTTATTATCTTTGTAGTCATTCCGTGGAGCTTTATGTCTACCAAGAATAATTTTAATTTGAGGAGTTCTCATAGAATAGAATCTCCAGATGAGTAAAGTAATAAGTTAATATAGATTCTTTGAAAAATATGATCACTCTCATTTGAAAGTTTTTAGTTGGACCTTGTTCCAGCCATTTAACAAGTTGGAGGTACTTAATCAATTCAAATATTAAAAAAGTACACACTGACTAAAATAAAAGAACTTGACTTTTATCGAGAAAAGAAACTCAAACAGGTTGACTTAGTGATAATATGAGAATGAAAACTCTCTCAAAACTTGTATTCGAACCTTGCGATACAAAACCATCTAAAAGAATAAAATAAATTGCAAAAAGTAAATAGAAATGAAAGTTAAACTATCTTGAATCTAAAAACCTTAATATGAATACATACCATTCCATTTTGAGGTTCCCTGCTAGATAATCTTTTTTTCCTTTTTCTCCTCCATCATCATTTTCAGTTTTTTCCCCTTTTGCCTCTTTAATCGTTCCCACAACTCCACATCTACGTTGTAAAATCTCTCACGGAATGGCATCACACAGTAACGAAAGAAGCAAAAAATGATCCCCATTTCTTATATAATTTCATATATAGAGTTAATCACATATTTATCTGTGCAAAATCAATTTTAATCTCATTTTCCCCATTCTTCATTTCTCCAGCCAGCCAGGAAGAGAAAGTTAAGAGACCACTTGAGCTCGGCTGTTAGTTTTGAAAGTAATTAATTAATCAAATCTTAGTTTATCTTCCACTTTGCGATCTCATGCTACTACATCGGTCGCTTGAGCTACCGCTGCTCTGATGCCTCAATCGAGAATTATCGTCGCCAACACTTTTTTTCCGACCACTCCCCGATGACACCTTGTGCTTCCCTTTCACTTTTTTGCCGCCTTTTCGGCTGCTGCCATGGAGTGGGACACTGTTGTCCTTAACTCTCTTGCTGCTCTTCCGACACGAAGCATCCAAAGACTTGCCTGTACTCCTCTTGCTGGCTCCATTGTCGCCTTCATCGGCGGAGCTGACGTGTTTATCTCCTTCCTCCTCGTCATAATCACTGTTGTCAGTGTCACTAAATTCTGAACTCCCATATTCCTCTTCCTCTTCTTCTCCTGATCCATCTCGTCTGTCATGCCTTTTTGATCCTTGACCGGCGTGGTGGTACTCATCATCATCTTCAGAGTCGCTTCCACTATCGTCAGAGCTTTCTCTGCTTGATTTCTCTTCCACTGGAGGAGGAGTGGAAGGCGGAGGGATATCAGACGGATTTGTGGAGAGGAAACTTAGCGTCATAACCACGTCACTCATTAGGGGGCGCGCTCCAGGCTCCTCCTGCAGACACATGGCGGCAATTGCAACGGCTTGGTTCAAATCTTTCTCTGGGAATTGCTTCCTCAATAGTGGGTCTGCCATGTCTGGGAAACGCTTCGGGTCTCTAAATATCGGTTGGGCCTGCAAACAATTCATCAATCATTTTAATATGCAGAAATTAAAATGACTAGTATAGACATTCTTTTATCAAATGATTACCCATTGAACAAGGTTTTGCTCGTCATTTGGTCTGGTGGTATCAATGGCTCTGCGCCCAGTGATGAGCTCCAATAGAATGACTCCAAAACTATAGACATCAGATTTGGAGGTGAGTTGGCCGTTCCTAGAGTATTCGGGGGCTGAATAACCATATGTGCCCATTGCTCTGGACTGAATTGGGAGCTTGCTGTCTCCATCAGGGCCAAAGCTTACCGATACGAAATCTGAGAGCTTGGGATTGAAAGCATCATCCAACAAAATGTTGGAAGGCTTCAAGTCTCTATAAATGACCGGAGGATTTGCTTGAAGGTGTAAGTAGTCCAAACCTTGTGCGGTTCCGTATGCTATCTTTAGTCTTGTTATCCAATCCATCGGTTCCTTCTCTGGTGTCATCTCTTAACAACATTGAGATTCAAATTAATGAGGTTCATTTGAGTAAATGGAGTTGGGAGAAAAGGGTTAATAGTACATACCAAGGAGGTGAGTTTCGAGGGATCCATTAGGTATATATTCAAACACCAACAGCCTTTGATCTCCATCGGCACAATACCCTATCAACTGGACTAGGTTTTGATGCTTGAGGACACTAATGACGTTCACCTCCGTCACAAAGTCTTTGCTTCCTTGGGAATGCTTGTCAAGCTGCTTCACAGCCACTACCTAGCATATATTCATTCATGATCAATGATAGGAACATGCATAGGAAGATTGAGAGAAGAAATTTACTTTTTTTTCTCAAACCTGGCCATTGGAAGCAAGCGTGCCCTTATAGACTCGTCCGAACCCACCTTCTCCTAGGAGGCATTCCTGTCGGAAGTTCTTGGTGGCGGTGGCGAGCTCGCGAAAGGTGAATGTTTGAGCCACACCACCATTGGATGCTCCTCCTCCTTCATCTCCTGGTTTTTGTTTCTTTGGCTCTATGCAAACAATATGAGGAAATAAAAGGATGACACAATATAATTTTTTGAGCAATCATTTTGGGTTCTTAACAAAATCCAATGAAGAAATAAATGAACCAACATCAGGCGGTGACCTTACCAGCCTCAACAGGCTCTGAGGGAGGGGAGGCAATGTCCCTTTTGCTTGCGGATTTTCTACTCTTTTGCGATTGAAAACAAGGGAAACAATTCATCTTCTAATTATGACCAAAAGAAACACCAATCTTTTGGATTCCTGTGAATCACTTGGAATAATCAGTAATTATCATTATTATTATTATTATTATTATTATGTTAAAAGAGGTTTGAGATTGTCTCCAAGAAGAAATCACAAATACAGACAAACAAAAAATTAATATTCTCTCTTTCTCTTTTAATTTATTATTTTCTTCTTTGAAGTTTACATTAGCTAAAGGCAAAGGAGGGTTCTGTAACAACCCACCACATCAAAGAAGAGAAAAAAAATAAAGCAAGGGGGAAGAAATGAAGGAGAGAGAAAGAAGATTAGAGAAGTAGAGAGAGAATGGGCACAGATGAAAATGGTGGGGGTATAGAGGGCAGGGTCTCTTGAGACCCCACGAGTAATGGGAAATCAAGGCGAAAGAAAGAAAGAAATATTTGGGAAAGGGGGAATGCTCTTTTTCTTCTTCTTTTTAGCAAATATGATTTTTTGGAAGAGACTTGTCTGTTTTTCTGCTCTTTTTAGAAAAAATCTAAGGGGAGGTAAGGATCTATTTCGCTACAATTCCTTACCAAAATAACCATTTACAATTACAATCCGTCTCTCTTCTCTCTCTAAAAGATCAGTTGATATTCTAAAATGTTGTACGACATAGGTTGATAAAGGTTGAAACTTTATCTATTTTTTCAAGGAGAAAAGATAGAAGTTTTATAACATTCACAAACTTTGAGTTAAGGTTCAACTAATAATAAATGCAAGGAATTTGGTCGATGATTGAATACAAAATTTTTAACAGAACGCAAATTTATCATGGATCACATAGATGGGTGACAGACTACGACACAACCAAACTGCGACCAAGTGTAATCGCAAATTGTAAATGCAGAATAGTGGTAAGTTCAATTATCAACCCGGGGTCCAGATCGACTTTCTGCTCCGTGAAATTCTATTATCTAGCGGGACTAAGTTTTTGAAAGTGAATTCAAAGTAAACTGAAATAAAGCAGTGAGTTGTTCGAAATTCTTAAGCAAGGGAAAAGTCACTCAGGATTGAGTCCTCCTAGCTCCTTAGTTAGGTTCAAGTTGTAATTTCCTTAGGTTGATTTACTGTTGATTGAACTACGAAAGATCCAACAGTAGCTCGGAATCTCTTAAGCTGACCAAGTCCTCTTAGACAGACTACCCAACATACGACTAGTCTTCAGCGGGATAGAACTCTAAGGTAATTAACACAGAACTCCACTACTGGAAACATATTCTAGTACAAAGCAGTGAATCAACTTACTCTCTTACAATCAATTCACTCCTATCGATTAAAGAAGCTCTAACGACCTAATCCAGATTCTATCTATCTCAGGTTGCAACAGGAATCTAAATAAGTTGATCAGGATTCAATTGACTAAACACACTTCAATCGATTATAATCACCCAGTATATCAATCCAAAAGTCATTACAATCATGATCCCTAACACATGGAACTAGAGTTCTTCATACCCAAGTGAGAGAAAGTTCTACTCCATAGAGAAAGAGTAGAAAACAACAATTAGAGGAATCATACTCATAATGATGTGTACGATAAGCTCTGGGATGATAATCTTCACTCTAAGGATGAAATCCAAGCTTTATTGATGAAACCCAGCTCCAAAATTGATCCTAGGGTTTGTTCTTCGCACTTTCTCTCTCTAGGACTCTGTTTTTTATCTCAAAATTTGATTCCTCTCTCAAAGACCCGAAATTGGGTAAAAACCCAACTCTGCCAGATTACACGGCCAGGCCACATGGCCATGTAGAATCTAACATGCCCGTGTAACCCCCAAAATGCGGCGTTGCACTTAGTTGGTCGAAAGAAATCCCACGGCCATCACACGACCGTGTAAATTAAGCATTGCCCGTGTAGACCCCCTGGACATCCCGTACGGCCCTGACTGCATAAAAATCATATACACGGCCACACAGCACATCCACGTAGAATCGGCTCTTGCCCGCGCACGACCAGAATTGCACGGCCGCGTAAAATCCTCAGCTTTCCGTCAAACGTCCCAACTTCGTCCAATCGACCCCAAACTTGTGCCCAAGCCTTCATTCACGTACTAGGACCTGAAATATCACAAACAAGAACAACCTAGCGTAAAATAGGCCAAGACACCACAAATTCGAGCCAAAACAGTTAAGAAATAAGGGTGCGAACATGTGCAAATATGGTGCTATCAAATTCCCCCACACTTAATCTTTTGCTTGTCCCCAAGCAAACAAGTCAGATACAAGGCAAGCTTAAAAAGAGTTTTCGGTAAAAACACTTTTGGGGACATGACATATGGCACAAATACCTCGATCTCAACAGACAATTAGCACCAACACGCGAACAACATTAATAACAACCGCAATGACCATTTAGATGACAACCGACCGCAACAAAATTATGCAAAGGAAGAGTCTACCTATTGTTCAGTAACCAAAATGAGACAAGTCTCGTATACACGCACACCACAGTTAACCATGCATTGAGTTCAAGCCACCAGAATAAAAGACTTAGCAGTCAAGGTCCTCGCCAGGGTATAAAATTTAAGGAATGAATTGCTCACTCTCGACCAGTTGGGTCAGGACCATTTGATGCGAAAGATGCGCATTCTTATTCTCTCAATCCTAACGTCTCTTCATCATGATAGAAACCTCTAAATGATAGAGTTCACAAATCAGATGTCATCACTAACTTGTCAAGAGGTCTTAGCCACGGGTTCAGATGACTCGCTAGGGTCTTGGACATGGGGAAAAGGCTTTTTAGGTGGTGGAAGAATTCATAGCACAAGGCTCCACACTTCCAAAACCAACACACTTACAATCATTCAAATCATTTACTTTCTTTCTGCCATTCTACATTGATCAAGTTATTTAGAGCAAAAGAGTGAATGAGGTCACACCACGTTAGTATTTCTAAGCCAAGTTGCTAAGAAACACTATCTAATGGGCATGATTCAGATTTCTGTGGTGGCTCTCTTTTGTTTTCATTTATCATTTTTTTTTCATTCTTTGAGAGAACCACCACTTTTACACATTTTTTTCAATCACATGCCCAACTTTTAAGAACTACCTCCAACCCTCATATTATTTCTAGTAGAAACAGCAGAGGACATGCAAAAACCACTCTGTGGAACCTCAAAGAGATGCAAAAAGGGTGATTTTTCATTGTAGACATGAAGGAAGAAAGTTACACGGCTCAAAGGGGCTTATTATGTGTATGACACTAGGACAGTCAATTTGGTCGTGGGCTAATCCTATGCCTCCATCATTCTAACTAGTGACAACGTGAATGCTACATGATAAACCACTATTTGCACATGTTTTGACCACCATTCTTGAACCGTTTGAGAGTCGATTCTCGTGTTTTAAGCCGATTTCACGCTAGGTTGTTCATTTATGTCATATTTCAGGATTTGGCATGGACATGGAGGCGTGGATGCGAGTTTCGGGTCAAAAAGTGGAGAGTTGGAGAGAGTGGAGCTGGAAGGAAAAAATACCCGGTCAGGCACTGAAATACCCGACCGGGTAAACGAGAAGGAAGGATCGGGTAAAACTGTTTTGGAGGTCAAAGAAGCATAAGGGGTCCCGGCCGCGAAGCTTAAATACCCGATCAGGTATTCTGACCCTCGATCGGGTATTTCCCCCTTGCCAGAGGGCTACGTTTTGATAATACTCAGCCGGCCCCAGTAATACCCGACCGGGTATTTGGGCCGGGTATCATAATCTGCTACTTTCTTAAGCAAAGTTGGCCTCTTTTGAGAGGGATGCGAGTTTTAGAGAAAGAAAGCAGAAACCTAGAGAGAGAAAGTGAAAAACAGAACCTCCAAGTGTCCTAGATCGAGATTCAACACTATTGGAGCTCGATTGAAGCTTGGAAAAGTGTCGATTGATTACCATAAGCCGATTTTCATCCTTCACATAATGATTTCCGCATCTGAAGCTGATTTCTCTTCTCTCTCTATGGAGTAAACTCTCTCACTCACCTGGGTATGAAGAACCCTAAATTTGTATGCTAGGTTTGGTTGTATGAACCCAAGTACATCTTCTGTGATATCGATTATATTCAATTGAGGCATGGTTTTCTGAATTGCATGAATCCTGATCAAATTCCTGTAGGACCTGCTTTGATAGACCACCCTTAAATGAAGGTGATGAATTGACGAATTTAATCGAAGATTCAATTCACTATTATGTACTGGATTTACTCCAGTAGAGGAGGTTTTGCACGTTAGGGCCTCAGTTTGTTTACTCCGGTGGAGGTTAGTCACCCGCCGGGTATTCAGATTGAGAGGGTCTGGAGACCTTTAGTCGAGACTTCAGACCGAATAAGAACCTTCCTCAGTATAATTATCATTGAATCTGGACTTGGTGAATTACAACTTGGCCTAACTGCAGTCTAGGGGGAACCATATCTGGGTGACCTCTCTTAAACTTGAACCTCAACTTTTACTGCTTGTGTTTGTTAGTTTAGTTAAAACTTCACTACAGTTGAACCACTAAATAATAAGAACTTCACAGAGTAGTCATCACACCTAGGACCCGGGTTGACAAGTAAATCTAAACCTGCTATACTACGCATTAAAAGGTGGTTATACTTGACCACTTTCTAGTGTGACAGTATAGGTGAGTCACTACACATCATGGAAGAAGAATCTATCGCACAAGAAAGAAACGAGCAGGCTCAAATCTCACATGGCTACTTATATGCTCTATCTCTCATTCTGATTTCTTGAACTAGTTGCATAGAGAACTGTAGACGACGAGTAAACGATCCAAGCCACAAGTTGGTTTGCAAACAAAAGATAGACTGAACCCTTACACAATTCTACTGCAGTTCTTAGTCATCATCACAATCATCTTGGTCACAAACAAGCCATTTGTGTATTAATACTAACCATATTCAGAGATCGCAAAATAAACAAGTGCCAATATGCCTATGCATGAGAAAACACTGCTTGGAGCCCTCAAATTTTAATTTGGACAGTGGACTAGGCTCCAAGCCCATATATAGCAAGCCTGATAAACACCAAACACCCCCCCCCTTCCACACACACACACACACACACACACACACTTAAGAGCGACAGTGCCCTCAATGGAGCAGAGGGAAGGGGAACGATGTTACCGGGAAATAACGATCGAGAATGGCGACTAGAAGGCAGACCAGTCAAGAGAAGGGGACGGGAAAGGGACCAGTCCAAAGGCATAGAGCTAGAGTCATCAAAACACGCTGGGTGATAGAAACTATAGTTCCAAGTGGAAAAAACAAAAACAAACAAAAGAAAAGCAAACCATGGTGGGGTTGCCTCCCAACTAGCGATTCTTTTACATCTTTAGCTGGACGCAGA